TTTGATATTTTGTGCTTTGGCGGGATTGTTTGCCGAGCGCTCAGGGGTGGTAGATATTGGTTTAGAGGGCAAAATGCTCTTTTCTGCCTTTGCTGCAGCGGCTACGGGAGCCGCCACCGGCTCTATGGCTTGGGCATTGTTGGCGGCAGTGGCGGTGTCGGTATTGCTCTCGGGTTTACACGGTTTGGCGTGTGTTAGTAACCGCGGCGACCAAGTCGTATCAGGCGTGGCTATCAACATTATTGCAGCGGGCTTAACTATCGTGCTGGGTTTGGCTTGGTTTGGGCAGGGTGGGCAAACGCCGCCACTGACTGAAAGCGTACGTCTCTCACCATTGCTACCCATGTTTACCCAAGGCAACAACACGGGTTGGTTTGCCTCTATCATAGGCGTGGGCTTGCTAAGCCACAATGCATTTGTGTATCTGGCGCTTTTGGCCGTACCGCTTTCTTGGGCCGTACTTTGGCGTACTAAATTTGGTTTGCGATTGCGCGCCGTAGGCGAAAACCCGGCGATGGTAGATGCAGCTGGGGTCTCGGTCAAAGGCATGCGCTACGCCGCTTTGGGCATTAACGGCTTGTATTGCGGCTTGGCAGGAGCGTATTTGGTGCTGGCTCTCAATCCCGTATTTGTCCGCGACATGACGGCCGGGCGTGGCTTTATGGCTTTGGCGGCTCTCATATTTGGCAAATGGTATCCCAAGCAAACCTTGCTAGCTTGCTTGCTGTTTGGGTTTTTGGACGCAGTGGCCATACAGCTTCAAGGCACAGAAATACCTGGCGTGGGCAAGTTGCCCGTGCAATTGATATTGGCGCTCCCATATTTGCTCACAGTAATATTGCTCGCAGGCTTTATAGGCAAAGCTGTAGCGCCCAAAGCTTCGGGTATTCCTTATGTGAAGGAGCATTGATGCACATTACACCCGATGATGCAGCCAAGCTGCAAGAGCAAGGCGTAAGCATCGCCCAAGCCACGCAGATGTGGCAGGCTGCGCAGCTGGCGTATGAAAAGGCGTATGCCCCGTACTCACAATTTCAAGTTGGCGTGGCTTTACTGGACGCGCAAGGGCGGCTCTTTTCTGGCTGTAATGTAGAAAACGCCGCTTTCCCCCAAGGGGTATGCGCAGAGGGAGGCGCCATAAGCGCTATGGTGCTGGGTGGCTCGCGCCAAATCCTTGCGATACTGGTGTACAGCCATGCCCAGCAGCCCCTGACCCCCTGCGGCGGTTGTCGCCAAAAGATATTGGAATTTGCCCTGCCTAACACTTTGGTAGGCGCTGCAGGTGCAAATGGTTGGCAAGCGCTTTATACCATGCAAGATTTGATTCCGCACAGTTTTGGTGCGCATTACTTAAATACTGAAAAATAAATAAATAAATAATCAACTTATAAAATAATATATAAATATCAAAATTTATTGAAAATTAACTATGCAAACAAATCTCGGTCTGGAAATTCAAAAAAATGCCGCCATCGCTGCAAACTATATACAGGAGCTCAGTAGTATTGCCGCGCCCACTGTAGGTCTCATATTGGGCTCAGGCTGGGCGGATGTGACTGCGCACATACAAAACGCGCAAAAGATTAGCTATGCAGACATTCCCGCTTTCCCGCAGCCTACCGTACAAGGCCATGTACCCGAGCTGTGGTTGGGCAACATAGGCCCCACGCGCGTGGCGGTGCTGGCTGGGCGCAAACACAGCTACGAAACTGGCCATGCGCAGGGCATGTTTATCCCTATAGCCACACTCAAAGCGCTGGGTTGCAGCATATTGGTGCAAACCAATGCGGGCGGCAGTGTAAACAGCAAAATACCGGTGGGCAGCCTGATGGCAATAAGCGACCATCTCAACCTAGCGCAAATCTCCCCCCTGGTTGGTTTGGAGGGGTCAGACCGGTTTGTGCCGCTAGGCAATGCCTACGATGCCCAGCTGCGGCAAGAAGCGCTGGCCGTGGCAGCGCAAAGCAACACCCCGATGGCGCAAGGGGTCTACGCCTGGTTCATGGGGCCGCATTTTGAAACGCCAGCAGAAATCCGCATGTGCCAAACCCTAGGGGCCGATGCGGTGGGCATGAGCACTGTGCCTGAGACTATCATCGCCCGCTACTTGCAAATGCGGGTGCTGGCATTTTCGCTCATCACCAATATGGGTGCGGGTTTGTCTGACGAAGCCATCAGCCATGCCCACACCCTGGCCCAAGCCCAAGCAGCTAGCGCTATGGCGAGCAATTACCTGGCCACGCTGCTGGGCCAAATCAAAGCATAATCTTTAAACTCTATGCAAGCAGCTGATGGGGTCACCCCCACCCCTACCCCCACCCCTTTAACCTCAGAACAATATGCCAAACTGGCATTGCAATGCCTGGATTTGACCAGTCTGGACGAGCAAGATAGCGAGCAAGACATCATCGCCCTATGCGAAAAAGCGCAAGGCAGCAGCAGCGGCATGGCACAAGTGGCCGCGGTATGCGTTTGGCCGCGCTTTGCTGCGTTGGCGCGCAGATTGTTGCCGCAAACTATAGCCGTAGCAGCCGTAGCCAATTTTCCTCTGGGCGATAGCCAAAGCGCCCAAGTAGAAGCGCAAATACAAGCTATCGGCCAAGCGGGCGCACAAGAGGTTGATGTAGTTCTGCCCTATCAAGCTTTGCTAGCGCAAGACTACCGCGCGGTAAGCCAAATCTTAGACACCGCCCGCAAAGCCAGCAAGCAAATGATTTTAAAGGTAATATTGGAAACAGGCGAGCTCGCCACATCGCAGCACATCCAACTGGCCAGCCAGATGGCCATAGACGCGGGCGCAGATTTTTTGAAAACCAGCACCGGCAAAACCCCCATCAGCGCCACCCCCCAAGCCGCGCGCACCATGCTGCAATGCATAGCCAGCAGCGCGCGCCAAACGCATCTAGGGTTTAAGCCCTCGGGCGGCATACGCACAGTCAGCGAAGCCGCGGTATACATAGATCTGGTGCGCCAAATTTTGGGAGATGCAGCCCTGCAACCCAGACGCTTTCGTATAGGCGCAAGCAGCTTGTACACCGATATCGCACGGGCATTGGGCGCAGAGCCAAAAAATATCCGCACTAGCTACACTTATTAACCAAATAAATCAATATATTAAAATGCTCCCGCAAGAAATCATCCGCAAAAAACGCGATGGCCACGCCCTCAACCACACCGAAATTACCGAATTTGTGCAAGGTCTGAGTACCGGCAGCTGGAGCGAAGGCCAAGTAGCCGCGCTGGCTATGGCTATCTTTTACCGTGGCATGACTATGGAGGAGCGCGTAGAGCTCACCCGCGCCATGATGCACTCAGGCACAGTGCTAAACTGGCGCAGCCTAAACCTGGGCGGCCCGGTGCTAGATAAACACTCCACCGGCGGGGTAGGCGACAAAGTCAGCCTCATGCTCGCGCCCATCGTGGCCGCTTGTGGCGGCTTTGTGCCCATGATCTCTGGCAGAGGGCTAGGGCACACAGGCGGAACCCTGGACAAATTTGACAGCATAGCCGGCTATCAAACCAGCCCCAGCGTAGAGCTGCTAGAGCGCACCGTGCGCCAAGTCGGTTGCGCCATCATCGGCCAAACCGCCGATTTGGCACCAGCAGACAAGCGGTTTTACAGCATACGCGATGTTACCGCCACGGTAGAATCCATCCCGCTCATCACCGCCTCCATCCTCTCCAAAAAGCTCGCCGCTGGCTTAGAGGGCTTGGTCATGGACGTAAAAACCGGCAACGGCGCCTTTGCCGCCGAGCTTGGCATGGCCCAGGAGCTGGCAGCGTCTTTGGTCGGCNATAACAATATTTAATAATTTCTATAATATAGTAATAGCATCTATATTGAATGGGTATCTATTGATATTATTTCCGCTGGGATTTATATTTGATAGTACAGAAATAATGATTATTTTATTTATAGTATTGGTTATAATTGACTTGTTTATAGTTTATAAATTAATAAATACAAAATATAAGTATATTGTTTACCAGCTTATACAAGCTTCTATGGGGATATGCCTCGCCTGGCTGACTGCTTTATATTCATAAAAAAATGATTATTATTAAAAATCTGCATAATGGTCGTCATTACTTCTATAGTGGCTATCACCCCCCTGATGATGCAAAGTACAAAGCCAATTTGCGGAAAAGTCACGCACAAGGCAAAAAACCGCCCGCAACCCGCATAAACAGCGGGCTGACAAGGTTTTAATGGCCAAAGTGGACTTAAGCGGTTAAAGCAGCGCGAGCCCAGTATTCATGCGGGCTGGCGGCGGTTTTTAGGGGGTTTCTTGTTTTGCGAATAAATGTGCCCATTTTCCCGTATTTTGGGGATTAAGTAAGGGTAAGTCCTAATAAAACGGAGCCAATATTGCTGCAATAATCCTGAAAAAATTTTCCACATCACATATTTGCCATGAATACACCCTACACCCTACACCCTACACCCTATATTGCTAAACTAGTCAAATCGGCGCTGGTTGCGCTGGTGTTGTTGTTGCATGGGGTAGGGTTTGGGCAAGCCGACTTTGTTACTATAGTGCGTGAGCCACTTTGGGCTACAAACCTTACATCCTCCTATATAGCAAACAACCCCGAAAGCTCATGTAAATTATTTGTTAACAATTGGGATAAAAATGCTTGGGGCCAACAGAAATTTAAATCTTTATTAGGTCCGATTGAATATATCCTTAATGGATTTAAAGTAGATGTTTATAAATGTGAATTTTATACTCATTATGATCTTTCTCCTGATTTTGTTAATTTTGAATATATCACTTCTCCATGGTGTGATTTTCAAGATGATCCTGATCAATCCTTTGGCAATGGGACTGGTTATGGTATTGATGGATATACTTTTGATAATCAGAAAAAGAAATGTATAAAAAAACTATATGCAAGTACAGACCCCCCCCTCTGCCCCGCGCAAAGCGGAGCGCAAGTTGGCAACCCCATCATCCCCGCTACGGGAGACAAATTACAAAACGACACCGACATCAGCCTCTCAGCTGCGCATGGCTTGGGTTTATCCCGTCTATATCTCAGCAGCAAAGCATTGCTGGGCTTAGGCAGCAAGCCAGGCCAAGCGCCCAATACAAGCACAACGGGATTTTGGATGAGCGCACTCCCCCAAACCAGCGCCCGCCTAGGCGCAGGCTGGCGCATAGGGCAAGCGGCTGATTTGGCAGTCGATAATGCAGCAGCGCCACTGAATGTCGCCATCGTCTTTGGTGACGGCAAAGAGCGCGTTTTTGCCAAAAGTACCAGCACACCTTTCAGCTGGGTCAACGCCAATGGCGACAGCCTAAGCCAAGCCGTAGTCGCGTCCGGCAGCCTAGACACCGGCAACGCCACGCCAGTAGCCGCAGGCAGCACTGTGGGCAGCAACACCGTGTGGCTCTACCGCGCCAGCGGCAGCGACGATGTATACCGCTTTGGCGCAGTGGGCGGCTACGGCAGCTACACCATCCCTGCAGGCCAGCCCGGCGCAGGCAGCGTCATAGCAGGCATGGGCGCACAAGGCCGCCATGCACCAGTCCTCAGCCACACCGCGCGCAACGGCTGGATACGCCGCTACGGCTACACGCTGGGCGCAGCCGTGGCAGGCTCTAGCACCCCATCGCCCCTCTTGGCGCAAATCAGCAACGCCTTTGGCCGCAGCATCCAGCTCAACTACAGCGCCAGCGGCCTACTCACCCAAGTACGCGCCAAAAACGGCGCTACCATCACCCACGCCGTGGATTACAGCTACGACAGCCAAGGCCGCTTGGTCGGCAAAGCCGAATTGGCAGTAACTAGCGGCGTAGTAGGTGCAGCCGTGCAAACCACCCAATGGCATTACGAATTGGCCGATACTGGCTCTGGAACCACAGCTCTAGCAGCCTCGCGCCTGCTTACAGGCCATAGCAGTGCAGGTGTACGCCGCGCTACCTATGCTTATGATACGCAAGGCCGCGCCATACTAAGCGCCTTGGCTGGCAATGCGGACAAGGTATCGGTAGCATACGGTAGCACAAGCGCCACAGGCATCATTACTAATGCAACTGTTACAGATGCACTGGGCAAACAAAGCAGTTACAGCTACGCAAGCAAAGCTGGCCGTCTCAACGTCACGTCCGCAAACCAGCCGCCTGCAGACGGCAGCGAAGCTATAAGAGGCCGTGCAACAAATGAGCGCGGCTTGGTCACCCAGGAAACGGACTTCAAAGGTACCACCCTCAGCACCACCGCCTACGAGCCCGCCCGCCCCCTGCCCACGCAAGTCACTGAAGCGGCCGGCCCCACCACCGCCTACCAATGGCACCCCAGCTGGAACCTACCCACCAGCGTCACGCGCACAGGCGCAGGCATAGCCCCCCAAACCAGCAACTACAGCTACGACAGCAAAGGCAACCTCATAGGGCAAACCGAGCAAGACGGCAGCGGCCCAGCGCGTAGCACGCAAATGCAATACAACTCCCAAGGCCTGCTCGCCAGCCTAACCGATGCCCTAGGCCGCACCACCTCCTACACCTACGACGCTGCTGGCAACCAAACCAGCAGCAGCAACGCCCTGGGCCACACCACCAGCTACCAATATGACGCCGCAGGACGCATCACCCGAGTAACCGCGCCCAACGGCTTGGTCACCACCTTGGTGTATGACGGCCTAGGCCGCCTCACCCAACAAAGCAGTGGCGGCCTCAGCACCAGCTACAGCTACAACGCAAGCGGCCAACTATCCAAAATCAGCCTACCCAGCGGCTACAGCATCAACTACAGCTACGACGGCGCAGGCCGCTTAGTAGCCTATAGCGACAGCGCTGGCAACCAAGGCAGCTACAAGCTAGACGGCATGGGCAACCGCCTGGAAGAAAAAATCACCAACGCCACAGGCCAAGTCGCCTACGCAGTAAGGCGCAGCATCAACACCCTCAACCGCCTGCAAAGCCAAACCGATGCCGCCACAGACGCCACCCCCACCACTGAGAGCTACGCTTATGACGCCAATGGCAATATGACCACTGAAACCAATGGTCTGAGCCAAAGCACCACCTACACGCTAGACGCGCAAGGCCGCACCACTGCCGTAAGAGACGCACTGGCCGCTACTGCCAGCCTGAGCTACAACGCCCTGGGCGACGTAACCAAAGCCCAAGACTTCAAAGGTATAGCCACCACCTATACCCCAGACGGCATGGGCAACGCCAAAACCGAAACCAGCGCAGACATCGGCACTACTGAGCGCCAGTTTGACACACTAGGACAACTCATAAGCCAAAAAGACGCCACAGGGCGCAGCACCCAATACAGCTACGACGCCCTAGGCCGCATCACCCAAGTGAGCGGTACTGACACAAGAGGCAACCCCTTGCTTACACAATACCGCTATGACCTGGGAGGCAGCACCTACAGCACCTCAGGCTTCCCAGCGCGTGGCTATTTGGGTTTAGTAGAACAAATCAATAATTCACGGCCTTTAATCACTACCCAATACCAGCGCGACGCGCTAGGCCGCGTCACCCGCAAAACGCAAACTTATTACACAGGAGGTAGCCCACCGACAGTCACGCTAAGTGTCAGCTACACCTACGACCCCGTCAGTGGTCTGCTCACCAACATCACCTACCCACCAGCCAGCCCCGCCAGCGCCCCACCAGTACTCAGCTACACCTATAATAGCTCTGGCCAAGTCATCAACATCCTTTGGAACGGCCGCCCAGTAGTCAGCAGCGTGCAATACAACGCCAATGGTCAACCCACCAGCTGGGTCTGGTATTTTGCCTACATGCCCAGCATCCGCCCCTTACCCATATCAATGAGCTACGACAGCGCAGGCCGCCTGCAAAGCAACAACTACCTACGCTACAGCCGAAACCCAGCAGGACGCATCACA